TGCTACTGTATACGGGGAATAGGCGAGTCCCTTGGACTGCAAGGCCATCCAACCGGTCAGTCCTAGAGGAGATCAACCCTGGCTGCTCTTTAGAAGGCCAGATCCCGAAGAGGAAACTCTAGTGCTTTGGCCACCTGATGAGAAGGAAGAAGGACTCCCTGGAGAAGAGCCTCATGCTGGGAACGATGGAGGGCAAAAGAAGAAGAAGGGGACGGCAGAGAAGGAGGGGGCTGGATGGAGTCACAGAAGCAGCCGGCATGAGCTTAAATGGACTCCAGAGGATGGGAGAGGACAGGAATGCCTGGAGGAACGTGGTCCATGGGGTCACGATGGGTCGGACACAACTTCACAATTAACAACAACAAATACCAGTAATTGTGAAGGGAAGGCTGCTGTAGAACTATTTTAGTATGGAGCTACTTTATGGAAGATAGTAGTTATACTAAAAATCCTGTTGCGTTTAATATTAATGTCCTTTCATCCAAATTTCTTATGCCATCTAATGTTATTGAGCATCACATGCACTTCAAGGATTTATGAAGCGTATTTTCCTTGTGTATAAAGCAACCTTATTTCCTCAATTTTACTTGATCCAGAAATTCAGGTCGTGCCACTGAGCTGTATTATTTCAACACAAAAGATAAATATGACCCACATTTTACTGTTTAGCAGGATCTGGAGACAGATCCAGAACAAAACAGCAATTCTGTTTCCCAGAAAGATGCAAGATACAATGCTCTTATGGATTGGTGTCCTTTAGCAACCTGCATTCATTTCAGTTTCCGAAGATTTTTCCACATTATATCATAAAAAAATACAAAACCTGGCCTCTCTCAGCTTTCTCCAATCCAACTTCCTGAGATAATATCACCCAAATATTTGCCAGTTGTGGACAGCTACGATGAGAGTTGGACATCAACAGGAGTTATGAATCTAAAGTTAGAAAATGTGTGTCTGCATGCACACACCTATGCATAAATTGTGCCAGCAAGTTGGCTTCAACTCTTAGCAACCACTTTCATACAGATTACAGACATGATCTTTTGAAACACATTACAGACAATAAATCATCTGTTAAAGAATTCTGACCCTTCATAAAGCAAGAGAATTGTTATGGGACCAAAATGAGAGTTTTCTTACAATTGATCATGAAGTCTTTCCAAATAATATTAACTGAAGAAATGTTGATCCAATAAGCTCCATATATACACAACAAAAAAGGGAATGTTTTAGTTAATTAACCAGGACTAAAAATCCCACGGTTCCCTCCGTCCATTCTGTCTATGCATTAGGCACAGGGTAGGACTATGCACTCGTTATTCTCCTAATAGCAAACTGTAAGGCAAATACAAACTTCTGGCTTCTACATATTGGGAAAGAACGAAGGAAGAGATACCCCTACGCGTGGGCTCAACAAACCGTGGATATGCTGAAATCCATTTAGCAGCCCTGCTAGCAAGACACAGAAGTAGAAAAGGCTTTACGCTTGTTCGTTCTGATAAGCTGCAAGGAAAGGAGCCTAGCATCGCTGTGCGCAGATACGCACGCTCAATCTTGACCATGGCAAAAATAAAAAAAACTTCACAAAACCGCTCAAGCCTTTGATAACACAAACCCGCGAAGAATCCTGAAGCCACTCACTCTCTTAGAGTCTTTGACAAAGTAGCTTCCGCTGGAACCTTGGGAGATTCTCTCCGGGAAGACTTCGCTTTCGATGGCTTGTTCCGCTTGCTGCATGACTTCAGCAAATTCGGGATCATCCACAAAGAAATCCATCTCGGCAATGCTTGCGACATTTCCTGTGGGTATTGAGACAATCATTTCAAGTTAGTGCAATCAGCTGATGGTTTCTTTCCTTTCCTCAACTCCGTTTCGCACCCTCCTCCTTCCCCCCCTTCACCTCTCAATATACACTCAACATTGGCTTACTTCCTACCGGTAGTAGGAAAAATACGGAGACACAATAGGAAGGCCAAGATAATATATACAGGGCTGCAGATGCTGCATTTGCATAATACAGCTAGGTGGTTGGAAATTTGACTCGACAATCGTTGGAATTAGTGAGGGCTGATCCTCATAGGCACAAGGACAGCATGCAGAACGAACTAGATCAGACCCAAATAAAGGTAAAGGTTCCCCTTGCACATATGCGCTAGCTGTTCCTGAATCTAGGGGGCGGTGCTCATCTCCGTTTCAAAGCCAAAGAGCCAGCACTGTCCGAAGACGTCTCCATGGTCATGTGGCCGGCATGACTCAACGCCAAAGGCGCACGGAACGCTGTTACCTTCCCTATTTTTCTACTTGCATTTTTTTATGTACTTTCGAACTGCTAGGCTGGCAGAAGCTGGGACAAGTCACGGGAGCTCACTCCGTTGCGCGGCGCTAGGGATTTGAACCTTTCTGATCAACAAGCTCAGCCACTGAGCCACCGCATCCCACATCAGACCCCTATAGAAGACCGTTAATATTGAACGCGGCAGAGATTCCATTCCAGTCTTCAGAACCAACAGTGAAGTTGACAACCAAGGATGGGCTCCAGTTCGTCTTGTATACTACTCTACTCTTTACTCCTGATCCTAAGTTCTCACAAGAATACTGGCCACAAAGGAACAAGCGCATAAACGATTCCCTAAGCATGCATCCAGCTTCAACACTTTGCTCCTGTTTTTTTTTTAAATAAGTTTAACTAAGCCACACTTGTCCTCCCACCTTCAACTCCAAAGTGCTGGGATATGGCCCCCAAAGCAGCTGCAGCCCACCCAGTGGTGGGACTCAAATAATTTAACCACCGGTTCTCTGCCCTAATGATTTCTTCTAACAAGCGGTTCTCCCGAAGTGGTGTGAACTGGCTGAATCCCACCACTGAGCCCACCCTTAATTCAGTGCTCGAGGGACTGCCACAAGATCAGCCAGCGCACTTTGTGCATAAGCTGGGACTGGAACTCGCAGGCTCTCTGTTGCTGCCCTGATGCCTTAATCCAGGGCTCCCCAAACTTGGCAACTTTAAGACTTGTGGACTTCAAATTGAAGTCCACAAGTCTTAAAAGTTGCCACGTTGAAGACCTCTGATCTAAGTGGAGAGATCTCAGAGGAAGGGATTACAAGAGAGTAAGTTATGCTGGCTGGAGAATTCTGGGAGTCGAAGTCCACAAGTCTTAAAGTTGCCAAGTTTGAAGACCTCTGCCTTAATCCCTACTCTCAAAGGGTTCTTCTCCTTCCAGTCAGCCTTGACTCCAGGAAACTCCCTGGAACTCGTCTCTGCAGTTTTTTCCCAAGCAACAGACAGATAGTTCTCGACTTACGACCACAATTGAGCCCAAACTCGAAACATTTGTTAAGTGAGTTTTGCCCCACGTTACAACTTTCCTTGCCACAGTTCTTAAGCAAAATACACCCCAGTTGTTAAGTTAGCCACACGCTCGTTCAGCCTATCCAATTAGTCTATTGGTTTTGCTTGTCCGAAGGTCGCAAAAGGGGGTGTCACGTGACCCCAGGACATTGCAATATGAAGTCATCAATATGAAGCAGCTGTCAAGCATGCAGAGAGCAACTGGCCCAACACCCCCCCCCCCCCCAGCTAGGACTTCAAATCAGGGCTCCTTTCTCGCAAGGACTCCACGAGGGGCCGCCTTCCATTCATGGCCACCCAACCGTCAGGTCGTCCTCGACCCGCAGCCATCAGTGAGGCCCAGATTTTACATTGCTAAGTGAAAGATTTTGTTCTGCTCCACTTTAAGACCTTCCTTGCCCCAGTTGTTAAGTGAATCACTGCAACTGTGAAACCAGAAGCACCGTTGTTAACTGAATCCGGCTTCCCCGTTGGCTTTGCTCGTCCGGCGGTTGCAAAGGGGGAACCACCTGATGCCGGGGACACTGCAACCGTCGTAACTATGAACCACTTGCCAAGCATCTGAAGTTTGGTCACGTGACCACAGTGGGTGAGCAAAAAATGGCTGTGTGTGAAAAACGGCCGTGGGTCCCTTTTTTTCAGTGCCGCTGTAACTTTGAGACATCATTAAACAAATGGTCGTAAGTCGAGGACTACCTACATCCAAATTTTTGACCATGGGGATGCTGCAATGGTCATATAAGTGTGGGGAAACGGCCCAAAGTCCCTTTTTTTCAATGCCCTTGAAACTTCGAGGGGGTCACTAAGCCAGCTGTCGTAAGTCGAGGACCGCCTATACTCCCCCCCCCCTTGGGGAGACCCAAGCAGGAAGAGCAAGAGCATCCCACATCTGGCCTCGCCCCCTCCCACTGCGCAGGCGCGGTTTCCTCACGCAAGAGCATCCCACGTGAGGTTACGCCCCCTCTCCCTCCTCTGCGCAGGCGCGCTGTTTCCTCACGCAAGAGCATCCCACGTGAGGCGATGCCGCCTCTCCGTCTGCGCAGGCGCGTGCCCCGCTTCCTCAGCCGTCAGCTCACCTGTCCCCTCACGGGCCCTCCGGCCCCGGCCCGACGCCGCGCCCAGGAGCGGCTCACACTCCTCGCCGTCGCCTTCCTCCTCGTCCTCCTCACAGGCCGCCTCGAACGGCTCCCGAGCGGCGAGGAGGCGAACGGCTCCGCCGGGAGCGGTCGGCGCCGCCCGGCCGGAAACCGCCACGGCCGGCGGTTCCGTCTCCAGCTGCAGGAGCTCCTCGTCGGCCTCTTCCTCTGCCTCCGCCTCGGGGGAAAGCACCGAGCCGGCCTCCGCCATGGGGGCTCGCGGAGGCAACGGCCACTCTCGGGCTCGAGCGTCGGAGCGGCTGAGGGCGCATGCGCCCCGGGCTCGGGAGAGGCGGGGAGGGAGAGTCTCGCGCCTGCGCGTAGGGACCCTAGTGCCTGTAGCTAGCAGGGGGCGGGACCGAGTAGGAGGCGGGGCTTGACTTCCAGCCCCGCCCTTCGCTTTTTCCTCACCTCTAGCTGAAAGGCAAAACAATGAATTCGTGGGAACTTTGCAGCAAATGCGGGGAGGGCCAGAAAGGACGAATTTTTCATTGCATTGAGCGGTGTATCCGGACCCAAGTCCTGATTTCTTTACGAGGGGAAATGCTGGGCTTTATAACTGACACATGGCATCCGGTCCTCTCAATTCCTGGCAAATAGATGGGGAAGAAATGGAGATAGGGACAGATTTTATTTTCCTGGGCTCCAAGATCACTGCAGATAAAGACTGCAGCCAAGAAAGGCTTGCTCCTGGAGAGGAAAGCGATGGCAGATCTAGACAGCATCCTAAAAAGCAGAGACATCTCCCTGCCAACAAAAGTGCGTCTATTGAAGGCTGTGGTTTTCCCACTTGCAATGGATGGCTGTGGACGTTGGACCATAAGGATGGCTGAGCGCCAAAGAATGGAGGCCTTTGAACTCTGGGGCTTGAGAAGAAGACTCCT